AAAAAAAAAAAAAAAAGCAATCTAAGTGTCCATCAATAGATGAATGGATAAACAAAATGTGTATGTGTTTGTGTGTGTGTGTGTAAAGGAAGGAAATCCTGGCACATGCTACAACAATAGATATTGCACTAAATGAAAAAAGGTAATCCAAAAGGACAAATACTGTATGATTCCATTTACATGAGATACTTAGAATAGTCAAATTCATAGAGACAAAAAATAGAATGGCGGTTGCCAGGGGCTATTGTTTAATGGGTATTGAGTTTGGGAAGATGAAAAAAACTTCTGCAGATGGATGGTGGTGATGGTTGAACAAATGTGAATGTACTTCATGCCACTGAACTATATACTTTAAAATGGTGAAAATGAGCTAGGAGCAGTGGTACCTTCCTATGGTCCTAGCCACTGGGGATACTGAGGTGGGAGGATTGTTTGAGCCCAGGTGAATAGCTGTGAATAGCAACTGTGCTTCAGCCCAGGCAACACAGCAAGACTTCCATTTCTTAAAAAAAAAAAAAAAAGGTTAAAATGGTAAGTTTTATGTTATGTATATTTTATCACAAAAATGGCTTCTTTACAGTTTAAATAATAACGGTGATAATAATGATAACAGTAATATCTTATGTTTATATAGCACCTTTTTTTCTCAATAGCTAAAATGTATCATTATAAGGTCGTCTAATTAATCCTGAGGACTAGATAAGTGGAGAAACAAACCCTAGCTATACGGTTAATAAGTTGTCAAACCTTGCAGCACACTGGAATCACCTGGAAATCTTTTTTAAAACTACTGATGCCTAGGGCTCCCATCCCCAGACATTTTTATTTACTCAGTATGGAGTACAACCAAGGCATCAGGATTTTTGAAACCTGACCAAAAAATGTAGAAGGAATAACAATTATGATCATTTCCTAAATATCTCAGCTCCATAGCAGAACAAGGACAGGCTATGTGGTGGTAGAAAATACTAAAATAAGAGTATGAAATATGAATAGACCAAGTTATAACCCTACTTTGAAAGCAGAGTAGGAATTCTTGATAATGACAAAGGAAAAGAATATTATATCAACTAGAGATCTCACATGAGGAGGTAGATTGAAGAGCAGTAGCAACAAACCTTAACTTTAATGTTAGGGATTTCCTACAGCATTTCACACACAGCTTCTAATAACAAGAATCTAAACACAGTGATATTATTAAAGTGAGCCTTGTTCATTAACAAAGTTACCAAGGAGTTAGAGAATACAGAAACCAATAAAAATACAAAAAGATATAGGATGCTACTAGAGGTTTATACAATTTCACTTAAAAGAGAATCTTGCATATTTATCAGAGAAGATAAATATTTGGGAGTTACAGCAGCTGAGTTGGCTTGAGAGGTGAAAGGTCTTAATAGATAAGAGCATGGCATCTACTTATTTGGCATCCTCTAGGGTTTTGGGACTATTACCTTAATTAAATCTCACCTGTAATCTAATAGCTACAAAATGGGAAGTATTACTTTAGGAATGAATTGCACTTTGCTCTTAAACATTCAGTTTCCCTTAACTGTAAAACTAAACGTGCCATCAGAACATAAGAGAATATAGCTTCCACAATGAGATTAAGATTCTGGTACATTCAGTTTATGGTAATATCATGGTAGAAATTGGAAAAGACCAATTGAGCCTAATGTTCTTTACTTCTTGGTATTTTTTATTCAAAAGGTATTTCCTTAAGTCAACATGCATTCAAAAGGTCTACACAAAGCATGCCAGTGATTATGATTAACAACTTCCTTCTAATAAAATATATATCATTACAAATCACTACAATTTGGATACCTAATCAACTCTAAGTCTCTTATTTTTAAAAAAGTCAAAGAAATGTGAGAAGATGGCCCTACTTACAAAGAGTAATAAATTTTTAAAATTTTACAATTTAATTCCATAAGTTCTGGAATACAGGATGCCCCTGTTCAATGTGATATTGAGTAACATGATGATACTACAACAGTTAATGCTAGACTGAGAGTATTTCAGAATTTGGTACCGGGCTCGGTGGCTCAGCCTGTAATCCCGCGCCTTGGGAGGCTGAGGTGAGTGGATTGCCTGAGCCCACGGGTTCAAGACCTGCCTGGGCAGGCAAGACCTCATCTCTACAATAAATCAAAAAATTAGCCGGGCGTGGTAGCGCGCGCCTGTAATTCCAGCTGTTCGGAAGGCTGAGGCGGAAGGATTGCCAGAGCCCAGCAGGTCAAGGCTGCGGTGGCCGGGAGCAGCCGCTGCACTCCAGTCTGGGCAACAGAGTGAGACTCCAACTCAAAAAAAAAAAAAGAAAAGAAAAGAAAGGATGGGAGATACTCTTGATGGTAACACATGAAATTTAAATGATATTTTAGGAATTTTATACTTGGTTCCTATGCTTAATATTTTAACCTTGGAATTTAGTATGTATCAAGTTAAAAAGAATGAGAACTAAACTGAATATTCTATTTGGAACTCTCCCCACAATGAGTAGCTCTTTACTCTCTTAAGGGCTTCTTGGGCCACCAATGATCACGGCTGTGAAAATATCAGAAGCTAAGAACAAGGAACAAGAACTTCTTTTTTTTTTTTTTTTGAGTTGGAGTCTCACTCTGTCACCCAGACTGGAGTGCAGTGGCACGCTCCCGGCCACCGTAGCCTCGACCTGCTGGGCTCCGGAGAGACTTCTGCTTCAGCCTTCCAAGTAGCTGGAACTACAGGTGCACACTACCACGCCCAGTTAAATTTTTTCATTTATTGTAGAGATGAAGTCTCGCCAAGTTACCCAGGCGGGTCTTGAACCCGCGGGTTCAGGCAGTTCACTCACCTCAGCCTCCCAAAAGCGCG